AACACTCATTCGCTTTGGAAAACCCACGAATAAAATCTGAAATTTGTAGGCTTGGTTTCAATTTAAGCACAAACAAAGAAATTTCAAATCCCAAATTCCAACTCCTAAAATTTCCAATCGACTGCTGATGAAGGAGAAAGGAAGGATGACCAATTCAAGTTTCCCGACTGAACCGGGCGTGTCGCAGCCAAAAATGGGGTCTGTTCATTCCGGCTTGGGGATCGAGACAAGGTTTGAGTTCTTCCGTTGTCTGAACTATAATTTTCTTTATCGTTTTTGGTTTCGATTGTAAAAATTAACAAGGAGGAATACCTGTGTTGGGAGATTAATGATGCACCGAGGAAAAGTGACTTTGATGAAAGAAAAGAGCTTAATTGTGCTATTGTAGCTAAGAGGATAGTATGTAGTAGATATGCATTTTTGGGGCCTTAAAATTGAATTCAAAGGGTTTAAAAAAATTAAAATGCCGAGCCATTATTGAGATGATGAAGGGAGAAACGGTTGCAAGAGCTAAAGAGAAACAAAATTTCAGATTTTACTTTTATTTTAACTTATTATTATTATTATTATTATTATTATTATTATTATTATTATTATTATTATTATTATTATTATTATTATTATTATTTTCTTTTACTTTTACATAGTTGAAGGGCGATGAGTGGCAATGAATTCCGTTTCTTCCTTTCGTGCGACATTAATCTGCCAGTCACCTTCAAAATCGAGAGATTGGAAGGGAAACTGGCTCCGTTGAAGCTTCCCGACTTAGATTATGCAAATTCCTTTCGTTAATATGCTGATTATAGGGCTATTGTTGATTTTGCTGTAAATTATTGTAAAAATTGTGCTGTGTTTGAAGACCTGTTGATTGAGCTTTTTCTAGCTTAAGGGATCGTAATGTTAATTGGGTTGTTCAGATGATAGTGACTGTATAGGGGAGAGGAAACCGGAGCTGTACGTTGAGGGCATGTTATACGTTGATGGCGCGCCATTCGGGCTCCCCATGAGAATGAGGTTTAGTTCTCTGCATTTCACCTCATTGTGTGATTTTTTGCTTTCAAAAGCCGATTAGCTTGGACTTGTTTGGGTGATTTTGTATTGAGGTTGTTTGAAATATGTAGGTTGGAATCCGTTGGACCATCATATTGTTGGAATGAACTTGTTACTCTGAGTACCAAATATCGTGATTTGACTGCAAATTCACAACTTGCCGTAACGGTAAGTAGTTACAATTTCAGTGCTGTGATTCACATTTGGCATAAAACATTTTTTTGTTATCATAATTTTTTTTGATGGAGTGTTAACTGGTACTCTGTGTGTGTGTGTGTGTATATATATATTTATATATATATGATGTTTCGTGTGGGAAAAATGAGGAAGTAGTTGGTAGGGCGACAATTCATCAGTTTAACATGAAGAAACAGCTCAAGACTGGGAAGCATAAGCTCAGGCTTTGGGTGGGTAAAGAAGCAGATGGCTCTATAAACACAACAACGCCATGAAAGGTATGGAATATTCCAATTTCAATGATAGCTTGCCATTCAGTATTTATGTTAAACGTTTGTGTCGGTTTAGGTCCCTGAAGAGGAGCGAATAGAATTAGAACGTTTGGAGAAGCTTGTGAATAAGTATGAGAGAGGACATATTCAACAAGTTGACTGGCTGGACCAGCTTGCATTTAAAGCCATGGAGAAAATCAAGGAACGCGAAACCATAAAAAGGGGGGCTCCCATTTGTACGTTGTCGTTGAATTTCTGCAGCTTTGAACATCGAGTGGTCTTCTAACTTTTAGTGCCGGTAGGGTTTCTTCACCCTCTTGAATGTTCTAAATATTATTTGAATTCCATGGCTATAGCCTATATATATGGATGCTGCTGCATTTAAAATCTATCAATGAATCTTGTGACTCCATTTGTCTTTATTTCCTGTGCAACAGTGACTTCCACAGGTAAAAAGCATGCTATTTGGTTTTCTTGTAAACCGTTGGGTTTGAATTTCATGTAGAACATATAGTCTACCATAGCAAACGTACAAACACCTGCTGAGTTGGACGAGATTTTGTTTTTTTTTTTGTTTTTTTTTTGTTTTTGTTTTTGTGATATTTATGATAACAGTTTTCTCCACAATCCTTCTAAAACACTAATATTTGTTATTGTTACCTCATTATTTGGTTACAGAGTGAAATTTAATTATTACTTTGGTCTGCAGGAATCTGGTGCAAATTTCTTGATTCCATCCCCAATAGCTTCAACTAATGAACTTGTCACTGTGTGGGATCCTGAACTTGGAAAAATTAATCCCTCTGAGCACAAGCAACTAAAGTTGGCCAGAAGTTTAAACCGGGGCATAATCGATAGAGATCTTAAATCCAGCTCAACAGAAAGGAAGTAAGCTTAATTATAGATTTAACTTGAGCGTTGTTTTTGGTAAATTTCAGTGTTCTGCTGATTAAGTTATCTGAATTCTGAAACCGTATACCTAATGTCTTTTCTTCAAGAAAGTTGCGTGTAACCTCTTCCAAGGACACACCATCTGTGAATTGTTTCTTCATAATGGTTCGATTTTTTCCAATTTGCTACTCAGCTAATGTATCTGATCTTTAATAGGTCTATTCAAGGAATATTAAGGTATCCTCCAACAAGGACTTTGACTGGAGAGGAGAAGCAGTTACTTTGGAAATTTCGATTTTCATTAATGTCTGAAAAAAGGGCACTCACAAAACTTTTGCGTTGTGTAGAATGGATTGAAGTCCAGGTAAAATTTCCTAAAAGCTGATACATAGTCCCTTGGGGTGTGATTGGATATGGATTTGATTGATTTTTGAAACCATGGTTAACTTTGAAAAAGGCGGTATGTTGTTGGTTGTTAGTGGGAACTCAAGTTTAAATTAAAATAATATATTAAATAAAATAATTAAAGTTGATTTGATGTAAACGTAGGAGAAAAATGATTGGAAGTGATGGTTAGTTAAAATTCTGTGAGTGGATGAATAGTGAATTAAAGTTTATGTGATATGTAAGAATGATTGGTTGATATTAGAGAGTCGCGGTTGGGTTAAAGTTGAGTTAAATTTGAGTTTTGATTGGTTTTTTACTATTTAAGTTTATATCCAATCACACCCTTAATGCCTAATAGTTATATCTTCCATTTTGCTCTTTATCACTTTATGTAGATTTGACGGCTTAATTTCCCTTTGCTGTTATATAATCTTCCTTTGCACTTTAATTTGTTATTGTCTACAGGAAGCCAAGCAGGCACTAGAACTCATGAGCAAGTGGGAGACAATTGATGTCTGATGCATTGGAGCTTCTATCTCCAGTTTTTGAGAGTGAACAGGTTAATTTTTTACACTTATTTTTTCTTCTGCACCGAGTCCAGATTTCTTTAGAATATGGTTGATGGCTTATGTAACTTAAATATACTCATGCCACCTACGACATAGTCCAGCAAACTAGAATATATGCTAAAAATATATGGTAATTGATTTACTTCTTATTATGAAATGACCGGCAGTAATAATAGTGGACTAAGAACTTTGTATTGGAATCCGATTGCACATTCATAGAGATATAGTTTGTGAATTGATGGTGACTGATTGTTATTTCCGTGTATTGAGTTGGATTATGATCACAAATGAGAAAAAAGCACGTTTAGTTTTTTGCTTTTAAAAGAAAAAGGAGCAAAAGTCACGTTTCTGGCACGTTGATTGTTAGCCTCCAAGCGCTCTTATCCACCGCTAAATCTTTGGAAATATTCCAATTTTTAAGGTCTCTCTTAACCGACTCTTCCCAAGTGAATTTATGCCGACCTCTATTTTCTCTTAACGAGACGTATACAACAACAGTTTTACTTGTAATCACGATAAGCTGATCGATCATTGGATGGGTGAAAATACAATATTCAACTAGAATTGGGTACCAAAATAGAAGTATATTACTGACTGATGAATGATAAATTCAAGAAAGATGCAGAAAGTGAGATACCTGTATTACCAAATATATTTTTTGAAAGACAAATTCTTTAATGTGATACATTGAATCAATAGTCCAAAAAAAAGTAAAGAACCAGTGAAAGAACAATAACTTTGTTTCACTTCAACAGGGCTGTGAAAAGGTTACATGAATTAGTCGCAAAGCCATAAAAGATACGACCTTTAACTGGAGAATCAAAGGGAAGCAAACAGAAGAACATGAGCTATGTATAGTTTTGCTTTATATCTCACTTTAAACCCTAAAAAGATCCGACCTTATTCAGAAGGGTCTCTCTCTCTCTCTCTCTCTCTCTCTCTCTCTCTCTCTCTCTCTCTCTCCCCCATACACACAAAAACACACACACACACACAGCAACAACAGATGAGGTGAAGTGAAACTTTTGTGGGACTGGATTTTTTAGGTTCAGACAGAAGTTCCAAAAGATAAAATTAATAAAAATTTTTTTGATAAATATGATAAAAACTGCAGAGGTGAGAAAGTATGTGGGGTCCTTCACCTCCATGAAATAGAAAGCCTGCACTTTTTCAACTAGCAAGAAATAAAAATATCTTATGTAGAGTTACTACTATTCTAGGACTATAGAGTCTATTATGATTTGATGATTTTGTAGTTTGCAGTTATGTTAGAAAAACGTGTACTTTCATGGATTGATCATACTTTTTTTTTTTTTTTTTAATCAAACATCAAATAGATTAATAGAACCAGAATGTACATAGGCGCAGCCAAAGGGCCACAATATATCACGGCTTACACAGAACAACCGAGACATGAAAGGGAAAGCTCAACAAGAGCTAACACAAAGGGCCAACATGGCCACACAATTACAACATAAAACTAGCCAAAACAACAAGAAAACAAGGAAGACAACACATCTAAACACATAAAACAAGAGAGAAAGAAGACAAAAAAGAAAAAACAGAGATCTAATATCTTCAATGAGGATGGTAGATTCCAAGAGGCAGAGAGCTTCACCAGTCAATATTTGATAGAGGCCTTTGTCCTTAACTGGCAGCACAATCTTTTTCCAACATAAGTTAAGCCCTTCCTCCAGCCATGCTCTGACTTCAAGAACAAGAGTCTCTGTGGATTGTTGATGCAATATCTTGATGGATTTAGTCGAGCAGGCCACTTCAATATTTGCACTTCAATATTTGCCAGATAAACTACCCCTTTAAAAGCATAGACTTCTGAGTGAGAGACATTAACACTGGCAGCAAGAGAATGCTCCCCTATTCCTTGAATCTCATCAGAGTTAGCACTAAAAACCGCAGTCCTTGGCTTGAGCAGATGCTGACCATATTTAATATCCTCAAATTCCAGCCACTCTAGTTTTGTCCTATCAACTAGCTGCTGCTCAGATATCACTTCTCTTTCAAATAGGCATATGTTCCTTGTTCTCCATAGCCACCACAGGATATAAACAGAGAGGGAAATTCTATTTTTGTTATGCTCCAAGTCCTGCATGCAACATAGGTGAAACCACCAATCAGTGAAAGTGATTCCTTTGTGAGTCAGGCAATCCCAGCTCAGTCCAACAAACTTCCATACATTTTTGGCTCTGATACAATGGAACATTAGGTGCTTTAGGGTTTCATCTTCTTCTACACACCAACAACATTTGGCATCAATATCCAGCTTTCTTCTTCTCAGTGCAGTAGTTGTGCCAATCCAGCCATGGAGACATCTTCAAAGAATGCTTCTGATTTTTGGCTTGATTTGAAGTTTCCACACCTTCTACCACACCTTATGCCCGTCTCTTAGAGCATTGCTGGATTCTGCATGATGTCCCTTCCTCAGCTTAAATTGATGAATGGTATGGTAGGCATTTTTTACAGTGAATTGGCCCTTCCTGTCTGGATGCCACATGAGCTTATCCCTTGAGTTGCAATGACTTATATGGGTTTGCAGAATGAGGTTGGCATCAGAGGGAGTGAATGACTCGAGAATCAATTCAGTGTTAAGTCATAGACCTTTTGAAGATTAAACCTATCAATATCAAAACAATAAGTAAGTTGGAAGCCATTTAGGTTTGGGATCCATGAAGAGTCCCAGATTTTGATAGATTGCCCATCTTCTACGTGGTATCTTAACCCCAGAGCCAAAGAGGTCCTGCGGTCTAACCATCCTTTACATAACCAAAAATAAGTGAGAAATGCTAGGGGATAATTTGCTAATTTTGAGGCCTTTAAAAGATTGGGAGGAGCAAGCTTGATGAATGAGAATAGAAAGGGCCTCAGTAATAAGGATGAAGAGGTAAGGAGATAGAGGATCTCCTTACCTCAGTTCCCTAGAAGGAATAACCTGCCCTAGATTCTGGCCATTAAGATTAAAAGAAAAAAGAAGAACAACTGATACAAGACCATATCCATCTATTGAATTTATCACAAAAACCTTAGTGCTTGCAGATTTTAATAACAAAAGGCCACTCTACTCTATCAAAAGCATTGACCATATCTGATATGGGATATTATATATATTAGACCAGTCTAGCGCGTCGGCAGAATAAATCAGACTAATTAGTCTGGTCGAGCAGAGTCTACGCCGGTCGGTGGTAGACAAAAGTCCCGATCGCGGGAGTCTGGGGCAATCCAGCATGTTCATGTTTCACAGAAGACTTGGTCCAAGAATGCAATGGTCGAAGCAAAGGGTCATGATATCAACCATCCTTTACGCTAGGGGCAGCTTAACAGCCTGCCCAAATCTGGTCGAACATCAAAGCTTCCAAGGAAATCTCGACTACAGGTGCGTGGGACACGTGGCGCGAGGTAATTGGCCTATGCCCATAGCGGTTTCTGACATATTCCTAACACATTCTGAGTGTGCACACCTGAGCCAAAATCGGGCAACATCTAGGGCAGGTATCTCACCTCTATATATAGGGGTCAGGTTTAGCATTTTACACAATCTCTCATAATATCATATACACTACTGTACATATTTTCATCTTCTCAAGACTGACTTGAGCGTTGAAGGCTCTTCACCGGAAAATCCCTATAGTGTGGGAGTTTCGTGCAGGTTTCGGCGTTCTAAAGGCGATGAGAGCAAGATTGAGGTGGTTCTCAGCCGGTCTGGGTGTTACACTTGTATTATTGGCGTCGTCTGTGGGATTCTGTTCGAAAAGTCGTGTTGAAGGTGTAACCATGGAGGACGGATCCTCTTGGGAATCTGCAGTCGTCGTTTGATGAGGCGTGGACGACGGCTAGATTGTTCGGAGCAGGCCCTCCTCCTGGCTTCTTCGGACACTTGCAAACTCCGGTAACCCCAACACTGACTCCGCAAAGTTTAGGGGTATTATCGGCGGCTTCGGTGGTGGGGAAAGGTTCAAGTCGAGAGCAGGAGGCTCGCGCAGTAGCACCCGCAGCGGTTCGAGCGCCGTTGCAGGCCGATCCGGTCAGGTCGCAACAGGGAGGACCAACGATGCAGATGGTGGTGCCGCCTGCAGCGGAAAATCAACGTGGTGGCCAGCCGACGGTGACCATGACCAGGGAAGAGTTGTAGAGGATGATGGACAATGCGGGGGCGCAGACAGTGCAGCAGGTCATTAACCACACATCCCAGGCCGCAACTGCACCGACCACGGTGGTCGGAGCCCAGGAGGAAGATGTATCGAGCTATGGTGGAGAAGTGAGTCTCAGGGATAGGGCGATGGAGAGGTTGACAGAGCAACTTCGCCAGTTGCAGGAGAAGGTGGATGGGAAGAAAGATAGGAGTGCTCGAGGACATCCATTCTTGAGGTAGATCTTGGATGCGTTGTTTCCAACAAGTTTTAAGGAGATAAATCTTACTTATGATGGATCGACAGACCCATCAAGGCATGTGAGGGTGTTCGAGAACATGTCCGTTTTGCATGGGTATTCAAATCCGGTTAGCTGCAGGGCTTCCCTATCGACCGTGAGGGGAGGTTCACTCGATTGGTTTCACCAACTTCCCCCGGGGTCGATTAGGGATTTCGAGGATCTTGCTGGCCAGCTTACCAACCAATACTCGAGCACGATGGCCCAGGAAAAGATGTATCTCACGTTGACGGTGATGCGACAAGGAGAGAAGGAGTCCATGCGCAAGTATGTCGCTCGCACAACCAAATGTGCTTGGAGTCCATGCACAACCAAATGTGCGTGGAAATCCCAACAGTTCTGGACGAGGTCAAAGCAGGAGGGCTGATCAGGATTCTATGACCACGACCTTGTC